TATATATATATAATTCTATTTATCATATATAAATAATAATATGGAAGAAAACAATTTCTTATAACAATAAATATAAAACACTCTTTTATGTGAAATAATAATATATAAACAATAATAACTCAAATCTCAGTTAGTTAATTCTCATTGATATTAGATATTTATTAGAAGATTTATTGACGATTGCAATGTGCTATTTAGGAACTGTTCCCCTCATCGAAATACAAGTTCAAGAATGAGGAAGATTGTTACCAACTCATTATTCTGAATCCTAAGGTTGAGGATACCGGAAAGTACACCATTGAAATTTCAGGTGTCTCGAGCACAGGTTTCCTCAACGTCGAAGGTTTGTCTACTTCGATGAATATTCAAGATCAGAATATATCATTTTTACTTAATTATAATCTTCATCTATTTCAGAATTTTTGTAAAAAAATGAATGTTATACCTAGTGTCGTAACAATCAATATTTTTTGGAATATTCGTGTGTGTAGCGAAAATACGTATTGTATATATGTAAAATCCCTGTGGTTATAGCACAACCAGTGATCGAAACGTGATTCTGCATGCAAAAGTAACCGAAGGAAAAAAGAGTATTTTAATAATAATTATTTATTTTATAAAATTCTTGTAATATCTTTTCGTTTAATTGTTTCATTTGTTTTTCACTTAAGATTTTGTTTTCAAAAATATCGAGTATACTTGTTTATAAGAGTATAGGAATACAATATTTGTGGCTAACTTTAAACACTATGAAAATAATAGAACAATTAACAATAAACTTGTTTCTTGATACTTTTTTTTCTCGAGAAAATTAAATTTGAAAATTAGTTATTAGAAAGATAGGTATTGCTTTAAATTATTAATTATTAATTATCTTTTGAAAATAATGATTTATATTATTTTGATTAAGATTTGGTTTATACTCTTTTGTTACGAGTAAATCGTTTAATATTTATATAATGGCGCATTAATAAAATATTGTAGAATAATGAAGCAATAGACGCATTGTAACATACAGATATATAAATACATGTACAACTTCCACGTTATTATAGAAGATTTTCTTGAAAATCGAGATCTTAAATAGAAAAATTTTATTCTTTTCTTCGTCTGGTTTTTGCACGCAAAATCATTTCCTATCCAGTTGTACTATAATCACACCCTATGCAACCCGAAAACCAAATAAGAAGACAGAGTTTGGCTCAAGATTATTGAATTAGAGAAATTGATTGATCATACGTTTCCTCTGTTTTCTCCATTTATATGTGTATATATATGCATTTTTGTTTTTCTTCTTCCATGTATATATTCTCTCCCTTTTTTCATCTTTTTTTTTTTCATTAGCGTTATATTCCAAATTCAATGCACATCAATAGCATTGAATATCGAATATATCAAGATTTTTCATAGATTTATTGTTACACAGAACCAGACCCAACTTACACGTTCACGAAACCACTGGCCAAGAAATCAAGTGGTTACACTAAACACGAAGTTTATATGGAATGTACTATTAGCTCTAACCTCGCCCAAGTCACATGGTATAAAGGGAAAACGAAGTTGGAGGTATAACAATTTTCCTTTCTTGTAGATCCTACAACCAAGTGTACAATGTATGTTAAAGAAAAAAAATACCTGTAATTAATATCTTTAGGAAGGTGATTTGTACAGTATATCGAAGGACATGAGTGGTGTTTGTCGATTAACTATAAAGAGTGCCACGCTTGAAGATAGTGGCGAGTACATTTGTAAGATTAACAAACAAACCGACAAGACTGAGACTGTTCTAACCATAGTTGGTATGTTATCCCCTAA